ACACACAATCTTTGTCATACACCTTCGTTTCGCCTGGCACGTGTGGCACTTGGCGACATCCACCTTCGCTTCGCGTGGCAAGCGTGGCACTTGGTGACATCCACCTTCGTTTTGCGTGGCAAGCGTAGCGCTTATGGCACTGGGCTGGCTCTGGTGGCGCGCTTGGGCGAGCTTGGGCGAGCTTGGGCGCTTTGTCACACGCTCTCTTTCACACACAGCTTTCACACACCATCTTTCACACACCATCTTTCACATCCAACTTTGTCACCCACCGTCTTTGACACACCATCTTTCACACACCACTTTGTCACCCACCATCTTTGACACCACCTTTCACACACAATTTTGTCACGCACCATCTTTGACACACCACTTTGCCACACACCATCTGTCACACCCAACTTTGTCACCCACCATCTTTGACACAGCATCTTTCACACACACACACACCACTTTGGCACCCACCATCTTTGACACACCATCTTTCACATCCAACTTTGTCACCCACCGTCTTTGACACACCATCTTTCACACACCACTTTGTCACCCACCATCTTTGACACCACCTTTCACACACAATTTTGTCACGCACCATCTTTGACACACCACTTTGCCACACACCATCTGTCACACCCAACTTTGTCACCCACCATCTTTGACACAGCATCTTTCACACACACACACACCACTTTGGCACCCACCATCTTTGACACACCATCTTTCACACACACGCACAACTTTGTCACACAACATACTGTATTTGACACACCGCTCTGTCACCCACCATCTTTGACACACCAGTTTGTCACACACCATCTTCCACCCACCATATTTGACACACCACTTTGTCACACACCATCTTTCACACATCATCTTTCACACATGTCACACACCATGTTTCACACACCATCTTTGTCATACACCATCTTTGAAATCTTTGTCACACACCATCTTTGTCACACAACTTTGTCACACACCATCTTTGTCACACACCATCTTTCACACAACACTTTGTCACACACCATCTTTAGCCACACCGTCTTTCACACACCACTTTGTCACACACCATCTCACTCTCTTTCACACACAACTTTCACACACACACACGCACACCATCTTTCACACACAACTTTGTCACACACACACACACCATCTTTCCTTGTCACACACCATCTTTCACATACAACTTTGTCACACACACACACCATCTTTCCTTGTCACACACCATCTTTCACATACAACTTTGTCACACACAACTTTGTTTTACTTCTCGATCCTCCACCACCTCCTTTGTCTTTCCTTCCTTCCCCCTCCCCGCTACAACTTTGTTTTCTTTCCTACTTCTCGGTTCTCTGGTCCTTCCATTGCCTCAGGTGGGGCGGCGCGAAGAGCTCGAGAAGCTCTTCGAGGAGGGCTGTCGAGTGGTGGCCCGCATGAGGGCTGACCTGGACATGGCTTGAAACTCAGAGGAGTGATGCGTTTTGGTTCTAAGTGATGCAAATCTGGTGTTTCTAAATGAGTCTCCTACCTCGCACAATAGCAGCTCGCCCCTGGCTCAGTTGATCATCAGTGGAGCTGCTGGCTGCGGCCCTCCGCCAGGGCTTTAGGCCGACCACTGACAGGGGTTCAACCCTCCGCCTCCTCCGCCAGATCGAGAAGCGGCAAAACTTTGACGCTGCGGCGGATGAGTTCGCCGCAGTTGTGGCCCGTCTTCGGCCCGACGTCGACCTGGCTTGACACTCAGAGGTGCTTTGAAATCATCATCAGCATCATCAGCATCATCATCATCGTCATCACCATCATCATCATCGTCATCATCATCATCATCACCATCACCATCATGATCATCATCATCATCATCATGACCATGATAATGATGATGATGATCATCATCATTATCATCATCATCATTGCCATCATCATTATCATCATTATCATCATCGTCATCATCATCATCATGATCACCATCACCGTCATCATCATCATCATCATCATCATCATCATCATCATCATCGCCATCATCGTCATCATCATCATCGTCATCATCATCATCACCATCACCATCATGATCATCATCATCACAGTCATCATCATCATCATCACCATCACCATCATCATCATCATCATCATCGTCATCGTCATCATCATCATCATCATCATCATCATCATCATCATTGTCATCATCATCATCATCATCGTCGTCATCATCATCATCGTCATCATCATCCCCATCATCATCATCATCATCATTGTCATCATCATTATCATCATCATCATCGTCATCGTCGTCACCATCATCATCATCATCATCGTCATCATCATCATCATCATCATCAACTGATCGAGGTCGTGGCCCTTCCGCAAAAGCAGGTTGAAGAGGTGGGGATGTTGCCGTTCAAGAGGTCCAGCAACATCCAAAACATTCGCCTGCAGGTTGAAGCGACACTGTCCAGTCTTCAGCACCGCTTCCACCGCGAAAAAGAAAAGCGGTGGCAGCTGGAAGAAACTTTCCATCGCCTTGGGGAGGAGGCGCGAAGGCTTAGGGTTCTTCTTTTCTTGGTGGGGGGTTTGGGTCTGGAACCTCGTGGCGTCCTCTGTTCTTTTCTCCTTTCTAGTCTAGTCTATTCTATTCTACCCCCAGCTGGACTCAAAACTTCTGTCTGGCGTGCTTTTGGCCAGTTGGCGCCGCGGTTCGCAACGTTAGCTAGCGACGCTGTTGGATAGCGGGGCAACCTGAACATGGCTGGCCAGGCCTCAACCAAAGCTCAGCTGCAAACTTTGGTCCACCGCCTGGCCTTTGAGTGCGGGAGGGTTTCTCGAATTGCGTAGTGAAGGGCTAGGTTCTTGTTTTCTTAGTGTAGGGGTTCTGGGGGCGGAGCCTTGTCGCAGCCCATTCCGTCCCCAGTTCTCTAAATCGACCTGTCGCCCTGCCTGTGGCGATTGCCGCAACACGTGTTGTCTTGAACGTGTGGAATCTCATGTGGCAGGCGTGGCGCTTCCTGGCATTTCAGCATGAAGCTGAAGTGGGGCGCAGCGCTCTAAATCGCATCGCCGCCGTGCCCATGGCGAATGCTGCAAGCCGTATCATGTTGGAGGTGTGAAATGTCAATTTTGCTTGGCAGGCATGTGAAGCTCCCAGGAGCTCCCAACCTTGCTTAAATTATTTGAGGAAAGTTATCTGAATTAAGATAGGCTGTTAAGTTCTTGAATTAAGCAGGGTTTTTCCTCCGGTTTTCCACGAATTGTTTTCTCGGGAGTAAATGGCCGGAATGGATGAATGAATGTCGTTTTTGTAAGCTTTTCATGTCTTCACATGCTGGCAATTAATGTTTCGATATGCATTGGCATGTGATGCGTTTTGCTAAAATCCAACAGGATGCGAATAAGAAATTATTTTTGGAGGGGTTTGGAAGAACAAGCAATGGTTTTCTTTGCGTGTTTAACGAAAATTTGCAAAGAGTTGTCAGTGTAGACTTAAATATAACGAAAACACATTTTACATTACATATTATACTATTTTTTAATTTAAATAAAATTTACATATTATTTTTAATAGTATATTATATTATATTATCTTGTTTATCTTACGTATATTAGTTTAACTTTTACTGTATTATACTGTATTGTTTTTTAATTATACTCTATTATATTCTATTATATTATATTATATTATATTATGGTATAATATATTATACGATATTATACTATATTATATCAGCTACTTTTACCAAATGAAAATCTCCATTGTATTATACTCTCTTTTGAATGTTATTATAGTATGTTATATCATACTATGTTGTATTATTTTGTATTGTATCAACTGATATTTTATAATATTAGATTGTAATATGTTTTTCAATTGTATTTTGCTACATTTTATTTTTCACACAGTGTCTTTTATTTTCAACGATTGTGATATGATATAATAGTATGCTGTTTAAGTTTATATTTCATAATATCGGATTGTGCAACAATATCATGTTTGAGTACATTTTGGTTTATTCCTTTTTTTTTGTTTGATTATACCGTATCATATTAGATTTTGCTCTATTGTTTGATATTATGTATTGTTTTTTATTCTACATATATATTTTTTAATTAGATCTTTTTATTTCATTGATTTATAATTATTGTAATATATATACTATTGTATATTATTTTTTACTACATTGTATTTTTTGTTTTTGTCTTTTTACTTTACTTCATATTATATTATGTATATTTTATTTTTAAATATCATATTTTATTGTATGAAAAACTAGTTTTGTTTTAAATTTTAATTTCTTAAACAAACTAAATGATAACATTTCAGTCAGAATATATTCAAAATGTTATTTTTAACAAATCTCAAAAAAATCAAGATTGTCTCTGGGTAATAACTTCGATAGTAGAATCACATATTTAACAAATCTGATGCAACCAAAAATTGTACAATTTGTTTCATCTCTAAAATTAAATACGTTCAACAACAAAAAATAATGTACCATTTTCAATCCAATCATGGTTTGCCCTGCTCCACCATCGTGCCTTTTCGTGATTAAAAAAATGTTTCCATTTTTTCTAAATTGGTCACCGCAAACATGACGCAAAACAATGCCTACGCAAAACCCATGGCAAAAGATGGAATCCAACAAAACAAATGACAAAACATGTTCTGTCCAACCCGGACCTTCGCCCACCAAGAAAAACGTATCGTTTTTGTTGCGTTTTGTCATACATGGAGCCTGAACAATAAGTTGAATGGGGAAATGCAATATAAACTTATCTTTGAAAAATCCATTAGTGAACACTTCTCAATCACATATGTACGACATGTCCATCATGTAATTTTTCACGATCCTTGATCATGTCGCCCACAAGTGATGGTGCATTCATTAAGTTGGTTTCGGGGAAAATCGAAATTGGACCCCCTAGAATTCAGGGAATCGAAGATGTGAAAAGCATCATTTCCCACCAATCCATTGATGTTTCTACATCCTCGTTTTCCGGAAAACACCAAG